ACGTGACATCAGTCAAGTGCAACACTTGCCTTGGCTGGTGCCACTTTAGGGCATGTTCAGGTCTGCGCACCACGCAAGATAGGACGAGGAACTTCGAGGACCCGTGTTGCGCTGCTCGGTCGCAAACCCCAATTGCGACGCCACTCACTACCACCACAGGGTGGCATCCCCCACAGCAGCGCACACAGCCAATGGCGGCCAGGCAACACACTTCTCTCACCCCGCACAACACGTCTCCCGAACCACATGAAGCTCCTTCAATTTAACTGCAACGGACTTCAGACCAAGATCGTGGAGATAACCGTCTTCATAGCAAGGCATGGTATATTTATAGCTGCGATCAAAGAGACGAAGTTGCACAGCAATTCAACATTGTTGAATTGTGCCAGATACAACGTGCACCTTTGAGATCACGAGCGAGATAATGGTGGTGGCCTAGCTTTCATCACGCACCACACCGTGCAGTATCGTCTTATTGAATCAGACATCGACCGCAAGGATACCAAGATATTCACGAACCACTTGCCCCCAGCGAAGCATCAGCATAGTTTCCGCAAAGTGCACAGTACAGCAACAGCACTTAACGCCATAAACACGTGGCCTAAACCCCAACCGTCCCTGTGAAAGAACTATTCTAGTAGCGTTGGACCTGTCAAAGGCGTTTGACACCGTCATCCACTCCACGCTAGTGGAAGACATAGAGGCCTCCTCTCTCCCACAGAGGCTCAAACAGTGGTCGGCGAATTATCTTAGTGGTCAACACTCGTCGGTAATGTTTAGAGACAAATCGAGTAAACCTAGAAAAATAAAACAGGGGGTTCCACAGGATGGTGTCCTTTCCCCGCCACTGTATAACTTTTACATTTCAAAGCTCCCTCAACCACCCCAGGGGACCTTGATTGTCTCAAATGCCGACGATTATTCGATAATGTCGTCTGAGAATGGAACTGATGACTTGTGTTCGAAAGTAAACGGGTATCTCTCCGAGCTTTCTCGCTTCTTAACTGCTAGGAGTCTAACCCTTTCCCCTACAAAATCTCTGCGACCCTGTTCACCACCTGGACGAAGGAGGTCAGACTTCCGCTGCGACTTCACGTCGACGATACACCACTTCCGACGGTGAATAACCTCAAAATACTCGGAGTAACCTTCGACAGTATACTCTCCTTCTCTGAGCACGCAACCGGTATTGTCAACAAAGTACAGATCCAAACAAGGTCCTCAAGTCGCTAGCTGGCAGTACTTGGGGCAAAGTTTTCAATTAATTTTGTGAACTTGCTGTAGACTTGAATCAGCTAACCGTGAATAACCCCAAAATACTCGGAGTAACCTTCGACAGTCTACTCTCCTTCTCTTCGCACGCAACCGCTATTGTCAACAAAGTACAGAGCCGCAACAAGGTCCTCAAGTCGCTACCCGGCAGTACTTGGGGCAAAGACAAAGAAACGTTGCTGGCAACATACAAGGCAATAGGCCGAGCAGTTTTAAATTACGCAGCACCAGTGTGGCCCCCGGGGACTAGTAGGGCGCAGTTGATGCCTTCTGATGTCGCCAGAATACCACCTGCACGACGAGGCAAAAATGCTCCCTATTAAGGAGCATAGCACAATGCTCTGCAAGCAGTTTCTGGTTCGGAGCCACAGTCGTGGTGACCCAAATAGACAACTGCTTGCAGAAGAGCTCTCACCAAGGCACGTCAGGAGGCATCTCTACGAACTTAAGGACGAAGTCCAGAGGTTCATTAAGCAACCTCTGGACCCGTCAGCATATCGACAGGCCCTGAACGGCATTCACCGGGAGTCAGTCTCGAGTTATGTAGACTCCAGACATGTGAATGCCGTTCTAGGCACACAGCCACCGGATATCGACGAGACGGAGCTTCATCTGCCTCGGGAGACTAGAACTACAATAGCCCAACTTCGCTCTGGCTACTGCAGCAGGTTAAACTCGTACCTGAGCAGAGTAAACGCAGATGTGCCAAATGAGTGTCCGGCATGCGGAGAGACACCCCACGACTCGAAACATCTCTTCGTATGCCCGGAAAACCCGACAACACTAACGCCTTTGTCCTTGTGGACCGACCCCATTGAGGCTGCACTCTTCCTGGGGCTTCCGTTAGTGGAACTTGACGACAGTGACTGAGATATTAACCGATCTGGGTGGGGTTGTTGTAGCCACTACAACAACAATAACAAACAAACAAATTTTAGGAGCAAATAAATAGTTGTCCGGAAATGCACGGTGAATCCGCCTTAAGTAATTTATGCTGTAATATGATCATAGTTGAAATTATAATAGGGTAAATTACGATGTTTTTGTTCATTGGAAAAAATTTTTATTTTTGAACTATAAATATTCAAATTTAACCTTCAGAAGACAGACTGGGGTGTAAGACACCCCAGTGCAAAGCCTATTTTTGATAAACTTTTTCGTTATGTCAATAAAAGCTAACCATGCAATTATATGATCTTGTACCTTTGAAAAATTCAATAAGACATTTCATTTTAAATTTATTTTATCTAAATATTTCCAGCGTAATATATGCAAAAAAAGCTTAAGCTGTGTGTTTTAAAAGCAACATTTCAATTGGGGTGCAATTTACCCCAGTGTGTCGTTCACGTCAAATAAAAAAGGTGTGTCCTCCGAAGGTTAATGTACATATCGCTCATATACTTCAATACTGTCATAACTCAAGAAACCAAAAAATCGAGTAAAACAACTATAAAGTTCTGAATGTAGATATAATTTCATAGTAAATATTAATACATATTTTGATCTAGTGAGCTATCAGCAATTGGTATAGCTATGACATTTTTACACAACATATAAGATAGTATAGCAATGAAGAAAGAAACTGCTGGTTGGCCCTGTGTTCAATATGCGCATCACTATTACGGCGCCTAAAAACGTGCAGCCCACTAATGGTGCCAACAATAGAGGTAACCGTCGTCCCTAAATTGGAGCGCTAAGCGTAGCGTTTGCCATTATCAACGAGTGTCAGCGCGCGCTATCCCCAAATCAACGCTGCGTAATTTTTGACGTTTTCTCATTTCCTCTCGTTTCCTCTTCTGCATCCAACTTCAACATGTAACGCCCTGTCAAAAATGAAAATTCCATTTGCTCAGCTCTAGCGCCGCATTATTGTGGGATGATAAATACAAATTGTACGGGCATGACAATTTTTGACAGTTGTTTGACATTTGACGCGCCAATTTAGGGACGGCAGTAAGACCGCACCAAGCGCCACGACACGACACACAAAGGGACGTCCCAGTACTAAGGGCGGCCAAAAATAGAAGGAATAGAGCTAGAGTAATACAATTTTGCACACGTCATTTTTTTATATACTGAAGACCGAAAATTTACAAAATCGCACAACGGACACGCCCACCTACCATATACAAAATACGAAAAACAAATTATGACACCAAAACACATTTTTAAAAGACTTACATACTAAGGTTGTTCACACTTGTCTGGTTATCAGGTTATCTGGCAAAAAATTGTTATGCTGTTGCGTATTTTATTTGTTGTAAACCGAATAAAAGTATAACCACATTCTCAGAAAACCTGATAAGCACTCAAGTGTGAACAACTTTGGGTACTTCACGTTCCATTTAAAATTAGCATTGCATTCGAAAAGAATAAATTTGTTCATGCCTTTTGTTTACTATATGTACATTTTCTTTTAAAATAAAATAAGTTAGAAGAGAACTCAGGCACATTTAAAATCTATTAACACACCGTTATTTCATTAATTGCATAATACATAAACTAAATTAAATTCTTATCACTACTCACCAATTTCCTTTATTTTAATGTTCTTCTTGAGCTTTGCACCACGATTATGTTTATTAAGACAAAAGGAAACGCAACAAAGTCTAAGCAGTAGCAGTTATAGCTGCTATTTCGGAGATCACCACATCTCCTCATCAGACTTCTTTTTCTAGACTTCAGCAGGGATCGAACCCGAATAATCGATGTGAAAAGTCAGAAGCGCTAACCTCTGAGCTATGCACACCCCGTAAACCTTTCTTACTAATATCAAGTGCAGCTGATTTGTCGCTATTTAAACTTAATTCGCTTTATTGTATAGTTAAGTGGTGATACGGGTTCGATCCCTGTTGAAGTGATTCCGATATAGCAGCTATAACTTCTACCGCTTAAACTTTGTTGCCTTTTCTATTTTTACTACTAAACGTAATCGTGTTACAAAGCTCAATAACAATATTAAATTAAAATGTTAATAAGCTACAATAACATTGACAAATACATAGTTTAGGATGAGCCTGCCTGGAACTATACAATAAAGCAAATTAATGTATAGAATTGACAATAAAAACCGCCCTGTCAAGTTGAAATAGCGGAAAATTAGCTGCACTTGATAGTAGTAGGTTGAATAAGAAATGAATTACCAACAAGAGTTTACGGGGTGTACATAGCTCAGTGGTTAGCGCTTCTGACTTTGCACATCGATGATGCGGGTTCGATCTCTGCTGAAGTATAGAAACAGAAGTCTGATGAGGAGATGTGGTGATCTCCGAAATAGCAGCTATAACTGCTACCGCTTAGACTTTGTTTCTTTTTCCATTTTTCCTAATAAACATAATCATGGTACAAAGCATGGTACAGCTGTGTTGGGCAAATTTCAATTGTAAGGGCAATTAACAATTACATAACAATTAATTAATTGCTATTTGCTACCACAACAATTATCAGTTGGTTAACTGTAATTGTGGAGAGTAACAATTAATTGTTAATTGTAGTGGACAAGTTAACAACCTTTTTAATTAATTCAAATATGTTTTTATTAAAAAACATTTACCGGTTGCAATTGCGACCTGTAAGTTTAAATTTGTATGCAACAGGACGAAACAGTGAAGATTTTAATATCTAGTGATTTTTCAAATATTTAATATTATTTTTAAGTGGACTCCTATACTCCATGATTTAGTTTTATAAACTGTTATTTTTTGTTTAATGTAAATAAAAAAAATTAGATACAACGAGGCCAAAACGAAGTCTGGAGGAAACCGGTAACGGTTACTATTTTACTAATCGAGAACTAATGGAAGAACAAATAAAACGAAATGAATTTCTTGAGTATGGTGAACACAATGGACATTTATACGGCTTGCATTTGGACTCTGTGAAGGAAGTAATAAGAAGTGGTAAGCCACTTGGTCTACTTTATCAGTACTTAGCTAACCAATATTTCCTTTCTCAGGACGCATGTGTATTTTAGACTGTGCTCCGAGCACTTTGAAATTCTTGCATAACAGTCAAGAATTAATGCCGTTCGTTATTTTTATCGCGGCACCAGGAATGGAACAACTTCGACACATATATTCAGAGAGACGTGCCACAGGTTCTACTAAAAATTTAATGGTAAGCTTCAAAAAATTATTTTAGTCCAGTAAATAAAAATAAAAAATGCCGAACTTCCAATAATTATTGGAAAGGTAGATTCTTATATGCATCTTCTTTTGTACTTTTAAGCAATACACTCAGTGGTTGCTTGGGAAATTGCCTACAAAAAATATTAATTCACAGTTTTTCGTAAGAGTAACACACCCCTATTCTGCATTTCCTTTGTATTCGGATTTTGCTACGAACCGTAGAAATAGTATGCTGCAATCCGAATCGTATTTTCGCACTTTCGAAATTCGTAACAATGGCATGCCTAAAAACGAACGAGTAAGCCGTTTTGCGTAATTTTGTACGAAAACAATTCTGTGTCGTAGGAGAAATAAAAGATGTAAATCGATGTGTGTTTGCAAGAAATATCGGTGGGGTTCATTTAAACAGATAAATTTGCCTTTGGCTTTGCCGTATATTTTTATCCACTGCTCTATATAAACGAGCAAACAAGAATCTTTGTTGCCTCTTACCGATAAACTTGGGTCCGGTTTAGTTATTTGTACAATGATTTTCGGTTGTTGTGTCAAAACGCATAACTTGATTCCAAAAACTTTAACATACACGTGTCATCAAAGGATTCACATTTTATTAGGATAAATGTTTCAAATTTACTACCACTAGCTTATTAATAAACTCGGTTTGCACTATGCACTTTTTTGTAAATTTCGACGTGGGTTCTGCGCAAAAATACTGTGGACTGGACGGCGTAGCCGAAGTGATATGTACAATAAATGTCGTATATCTTTGACATACAGAAGCCCCTCTTCCCCGCAACACAGAAGGGAGAATTCTACTTAGTAAGGGTTATAATCCCTAAGCGCGGCCGAAGGCAGAAGCAGGTGCAACAGGTGGTGGACCTAACAAAGTGCATGTTTTCAATGGCTTGGAAGAAGCTGTTAATGCATTAACTGGATTTAGAACCAGCGCTTCAGGCATAGGAGGAGTTCTGGCTTGTGGTTCAACAATTCAACCATAAGCTGACATAGATGAGCCCATGGTTACTATGCCCGACAGCTCCGCATACCTTTGTGAATCCATTGCCATAGCGCCCTCATACTCTGCTGCTATAATTGCAAATGCATCAGAATCCATCATTTTCCTCAAAATATGTAAAATTAACCAATTTTTCAATAAACAAACACATGATGGGTTTTTTTTTAATTGCTTTCCACTTTGTTTTCCTTCATTCAGCTATCTTCGAAAAACAACTGATAGTTGGCAATGCTGCTCATGTTTCCGCAAGGGTTGCAGCATGTGGATTTTTCGTGTTTCGTAGCATAGCTACGCATTACGAATTACAAAAATTCGGGTTCTAGAATAAGGGGGACAGTTTTCTTGGAATTCCTTTAAAAATTTTGTGTGCCTACGGTGCCAAACGATTCGCTCTTAATTGAAATGAAATTCAGCGAATAAGGACTTTTAGAAAACAAAATTTGCATAACAAAAATATCAGCAGAAAAATACGTGAAAAAATTGAAGATTTTGGTAAATAAGTGGGTAAAGCGGTATAGTGTAGCTAAAAATTAACCGACTTCTCTGGGAGAGGCAGAAGGTAATAATTACTTTGTGGGGAGCCGACTTATCAGCGCGTAAAGCTGAAACAGTTTTGAAGAAGTGTATCTAAGTATATGAGTCGAGGATATGTTCGCCCAGTTGGCGCCAAATTTCGCACAATTTGAGGGAACTGGTTTTATGACTGTCGCATTTGTCTTATACTACGTTCAAATTGACGAGCTAAACATGTTAAATGGGCTTGAACCAGTTCAATGAACAAAACATGTTCATAAACAAGTTAAATCGCATGCAATTGTTGTTGGAAATCATTTAATTCATTTGAAAATCAATTCAGCACAGAGTTGTATCAGAAAGCTTTCTGCTCCGGACAATCAGAAAGACCCAAAAGCTTTCATTTGACACCGCAACGTTAAAAAAATTTATATTATGAAAAAAATAAAAATTAAAAATTATCAAAAAATATCAAAATTGTGTGCATGTCTGCCCGCCAAAAAAGAGGCCCAGGCGCTAATTAGGTATTTTCCATGAGGTCTCATCGTACGCAGAGATAATTAGTGCTTACAAGATAAACATTTTTAAGTCTCGAAGTTATCCGTATATGTTAATATCATGAAGCAGACATTCGTACAAAACAAATTGAAATATAAAAAATTTATTTTGAATATTTTTTTCGAATTGCTATTGGTAATCAAACAACCGTCAAAGTTAACTCCAAATGTTCAATGTGGAAGATTGTGTTTTCCAAAAAGCTCTTTTTCATTTAACAAGTTAAATGGGGCCAATTTGAACGTAATATTAAGAGTGAAAATATGAAAATAGAGCATTACAGTTCATATTTTGAATTGGCTTTGACAGTTGTCAAAATAATAAAAAATTTTTTGGCATAAACCCTCAGGACAGATATTTAGACAATACAAAAGCTATCGCGACAAATTGGGCTGAAATTAGTGACTATAAATTTTATCGAAAACATTGCATACGAAAAAGATTTAAGTCTATCCCCCTTATTCTATAACTCGAATTTTCGTAATTCGTAGCTACGCTACGAAAAACGAAAAATCCACATGCTGCAACCCTTGCGGAAACATGTGCCGCATTGCCAGCTATCAGTTGTTTTTCGAAGAAAGCTGAATGAAGGAAAATAAAGTGGAAAAGAAATAAAAAAAAACTCATCGTGTGTTTGTTTATTGTAAAATTAATTAATTTTACATATTTTGAGGAAAATTAGGGGTTCTGATGCATCTGCAATTATAACAGCAGAGTAAGAGGGCGCTATGGCAATGGATTCACAAAGGTATGTGGAGCTGTCGGGCATAGTAACCATGGTCTCATCTATGTCAGCTTATGGTTGAATTGTTGAACCACAAGCCAGAACTCCTCCTATGCCTGAAGCGCTGGTTCTCAATCCAGTTAATGCATTAACAGCTTCTTCCAAGCCATTGAAAACATGCACTTTGTTAGGTCAACCACCTGTTGCGCCTGCTTCTGCCTTCGGCCGCGCTTAGGGATTATAACCCTTACTAAGTAGAATTCTCCTTTCTGTGTTGGGGGGAAGAGGGGCCTCTGCATGTCAAAGGTATACGACATTTATTGTGCATATCACTTCGACTACGCCGTCCACAGTATTTTTGCGCAGAACCCACGTCGAAATTTGCAAAAAAGTGCATAGTGCAAACCGAGTTTATTAATACGCTAGTGGTAGGAAATTTGAAACATTTATCTTAAATAAAATGTGGATCCTTTGATTACATGTGTATGTTAAAGTTTTTGGATTCGAGTTATGCGTTTGGACACAACAACCGAAAATCATTGTACAAATAACTAAACCGGACCCAAGTTTCTCAATAAGGGGCAACAAAGATTTTGTTTTGCTCGTTTATATAAAGCAGTGGATAAAAATCTACGTATATGCGAAAGGCAAATTTATATGTTTAAATAAACACCACCAATATTTCTTGTAAACACACATCGATTTACATCTTTTATTTCGCCTCCGACACAGAATTGTTTTCGTACAAAATTACGCAAAAAGGTTACTCGTTCGTTTTTAGGCATGCCATTGTTACGAATTTCGAAAGTTCGAAAATACGATTCGGATTGCAGCATACTATTTCTACGATTCGTAGCAAAATCCGAAAACGAAAGAGTTGCAGAGTAGGGGTGTATAAAATGAATTCAGACTGTACAAATTTAACGCGCATCTGTCCCTTACAAAAAGTCACGATAGAGTCCCTTGTGGTCGATTTGACGCAATATAAAAAACTCGATTCGAAAGTAAAAAAGTATAATTTTTATTAAAATCAAATGAATGTCACAACATTAAAATAAAAAAATGAGGTTGGTAGCATTCTACTCCATGCAGATTAGTATTTCTTGTTTTCGTGAAAATTTGGCATTTTCCACGCTTTTTTGACAGTTCATGATGCACCAGGTGATTTCTAGGCTCGCAGCTGTTTGCAAAGCCGGTGGTTAATCCGCCGCTTTTTGGCAAACCTTCACGCTATTCGATTTGGGTTAAAATAAGTACATAAGCAAGATCAATTAGAAATATTTAAGTGGCAATAAAAAATTGTACTGCTATGTATATTTCTAGTATGATTTGAAATCTATGTGTACAGCATATGCACTGAGCGCTGAAATATATAGAATGTTAGAGACTGCAACTGATCATATTTTTATTTGTGTTTGCTCGAATAGGTACCCCATTTCCCCCTTTATAACCTATACGCATTTCGTTACATTGTAGAAATATATAATTTTGCTTCCTCTTTTCATATCTAAGATTGTAGTTGAGCTTGTAACAGCATACAAATTGTTTTCGAAAGTATTTTTGGGGAAACTACTTTAGAGACAGTCCTTGGCCAGATATAAATCTCTGTCGTTCCGTAGACCCTGGGTGTCGTGGCATAAGTTTCTCTTCCTGCTGTGGAGTTTCGAAAATCGCTACCTTAAATTTTCATCGCCAAAATTCTCTAGGTGAAAAGCAGAAAACAAAATGTGCAATCAGCCAAATCTGGCAGTATGAGGTGCGGTGCATGTAACTACAACATGATACTCTTGTGGAGATTTTTGGCGACCATAATCAATCAAAAATAACGTAATTTTCACTTGGTTGAAATAGAGTCCGACCGATTAATGGCATTGGCATCGCCATTGGCTAGTATCGGCCAAAATGATCGGCATCGGCCGTGTTTGGCGGATTCTTAGCCGATTCTTTTTACTTTTTCCGCATTTAATTCCATCTTATTTATTTTAAAATTTTTCAATTCCTTTAAAGTTTAAATTATCAATGCATCTGAGCCCCCTGTCATAAATGTGTTCTCATGTTTCGTTTTTATGAATGTAAATAGGTAAGACACATTTTAGCAAGTTTTAGCTATTTTTCTTTGTTTAAAATGTATTTTTTATTTTTTATGAAATTACAGCTTACCATCTAAACACAACCGTGTAAA